AATAGCACCTCTGAGAACAAAGAGCTGTACCCTTTGCTTTGAATGCGATTCACAATGGAAGTGCAAAGAAACGCTCGCAAAAAATAAAGCCATGCGTCTATCTTGACTTTATCCCTTCAGCCAACTCAGAGAGCTCTTGCCTCCAACATTTTCTAGATTCTACTGTCTATCATACATATAATCGTTGTCTTCAGTTAGTTTCCTTGCGGAGTAGTCGATCTCCCCATAAAAAGGTGGAAGGCTAAATCGCCGAGCTCATTGGCGGAGCCAAACGCGTAATCTATTCCGTACTATTACTACTACTGGGTACAACGTAGTATATAGCAATGCTATCATTTTAGAAGCAAATCCACATGTGTGATCGTAGGTGAAGAAGTGCCTCTAACATGAATCCCTTGATAGTAAATCCTGTATATGCTATCTGCACACTTATGAATAGGATTACTGAGACAAAGGGTGCATTTATATCTCTTTCGGTTCTTTGCGTAAGAATCCTCTGTTGAGGTGTCAAAAATAGGTAATTACCTGTCAGAACTACTTCTGAACTCCTTTCATATACAAAGATCTACTCAGTGAGTCGAGGTATCTGTTGCAATCAGGCGAGCATGATCTGAAAGGGTCCTAGTCGAAACGAAGAATGGGGCCGTCCTGAAGAAGTCGGCCAGGGAGAGTACTTACCGAATGATAATGAAGCTGGGAATTGAAATACCGAAAATTTCCGGAAATAGTTTTTTGTATTCCAGGCTCCTTTCAAATTTGATGTATATCTGTAGATGTTGTTGCCCCTTCTGAACCGATGTGAAAATGAAGGTTGTCAAAAGGTCATGATTGTGGCCTGAAAATATTTTCTCGAATTGATGAGAATCCATGCATAACTATGTCGCCATCCTGGCAGTCATCAGAAAACACATGCAATGGCTACTAAGCAATCCGAGAAATTCAGAAATGTAAGTACTTTGATAATTTTTGTGGTCCAACATCAGATTGTTGAGTGAGGGAAAGGTAGTGAATGTGTCAATGAATGAAGATAATTTTTGAGAAACTGGGAACACGATAACTCTTTAATCCTACTGAGAGCTACATGAAAAGGTATTGTACGATTAGGTGGGTTTTGGATAAAATTTTAAGGAAATACTTTTGTTGGAATAATGGCATTTCCTGATTGGAAAACGGTTCAAAGTAACTTACTGTTTGCTAGTTTGCTGACGATTTGGAGGCTCCTTATGAAGCCTAGAAGAAGTGGGTTTACTTTGAAGCCCAATCAGGAAATGTCATCATTCCAACAAAAGTATTCCCTTGAAGTTTGCTGACGATTTGGAGGCTCCGCTCTGAAATCAGTTTTTTCATCAGAAGATTTCAGTTATCATGAAGTTATCATGCAAGCAACAGAGATTGATTTCTACAAAATTCCGCCTAAAACCTGCTTATTTATAACTCTTTTGTGGATAATTTTTTTGTTTACATAACCTTACTTATACACTTTACATTTTTCTTTTGAATAAAGCTCACAGTTTTTCATACAGCAGGCGATTCCATATGAAAAAAGGTTTTTTGTCGTTTTTTTCAGTTTGGGATGTTGTTTGCTTTGCTCGGTGAATCATGAATAAACCATTCCATTAATTGATGTCCGTTTTTCGAAAAATGGCCACAACACCTTTATTTTTTCATACTGCGAGATTAATCGGTCTGCAATTGTCTAGTAGACACGGATGAATGTAGATATAATCGAGTTGTTTATGGGATAACGCTTCTGCTCATCATCTTGGCACGTCCCCGTTCCCATTCAGCTCAGTAAAATGTGTCCAGTTACTGGTTAGAAGTTGGTATTTAACATCATGGCCTCATTCAAGTACGAAACTTGATAGCTTTCTGCAGTTTCAAATGTGCTCTCAGCGACCTCATTTGGCTTTGAGTGACGTGATGAGATATTGAATAGGTCGTATTTGTGGCAAGCACGTATATTACCACTTTCATTCTCCCCACCCTCCTTATTGAATTGCTTCTATTGCCGAAGAAAATGCAAGAGGGTTGGCTACATTGGAATGGGCATAGGCATGCCCGAGAAGCAATTCTCTGGCAACATTGAAAGCGAATCGGACAGAGGGCATTCTTTCTCTCGTGAAGGCAACAACTTCACTGCCTAGACTACTTGGTAATCCAGTAAGTAAATACTTCACGGTCACAAGTCCAAAAGTCCAAAGATCACCAAGTTTACATTAAAGTAGCAAGTCGGAACAAGTCTAGTCGTACGTACGAATCCCCCCATCACAATGAAGGCAGAGGCGGGCCTTGTCAGCTTCACCCTTAGGCCCCCCGTAATCAACTCACTACAACTTCACCAAGCCAAGTCTACAAGCTTATCCAGCCAGTTATTCCAGTTTTTGGAAGAGCAATGGAATCGAAAAGTCATTAACATGACAAAGATTCTATTACAAACTTTTAATTACAATCTTGAAGCTTTACTCGGTATTATGAAGTGTTAGTGGTGAATTATGAAGTGTTTTTTCACATACTTTTTATTTATCCATAGCCTAAGGGTACTTACTATTTACATGTCTCAAATGTACGGACGAGTTCTAAGAAAAGGGACTGCAAGGAAAAGTAATTTGAAAGGCATACTGTGCTGGCATTTTTATAAAAAAATATCTTCCCAACTGTAAGTATTATACATTTACTTTACTGCAGCAATTCTTTCTGGGTGTGGTCCAAGTTTCAAAGAGTCGTATTCTCATAAGTAACAATTTAGTTCAAAATTACTTTTATTTTTAAGTTCTAATTAATGTAGGCCATTCCGTTACAAAGGGACATCGCCACTGTCCCTGAAATAGGGCAACTTATGGGTTTTTGGTGCAAAAATATCCGATTGGAAGGCTCACTTTGTTCCTACAGTTGCGATTCCATTCTAGAAACAGTTTGACTAGTCCCTATTACCGAAAAATTTTTTGTTTTACTTATTTGTTCGTTTATTTGTTATTTATTTTACTGAATCAAGAGATTTGGAATAATAAGAAAATTGAAAAGGACATCGAAGCTCAGTTGTACATAGTCGTGGCTGGGCCCTGAGGCTCCAAAATGTACATCATCCGAAGTTCGTTCGTAGTTTGAAATCCATACTTGTTTTTGAATTTATTCTACTTATTTCTTAATTTTTACATGTCGAAAATGCGTAGATGCGTAGCTGAGCAAGTGAAACAAAAAAATTGAAGTTTTTTCATGAGTTCCCCAGCACTTTTGATGCTTTGTTGTATTATGTTCATTATCTTCAGTATATATAAAGATATGTATATGTATGTGATGCAGGTGATGGATTACTTCTCATCACTTGACAAGCTGTAATATGTAGTAGAGTACAAAATTCTGTTGACGTAGATTCCTTTATATTTACTCTATCATATTTTTCAGACGAAGAAAATTTAATACCGGAGAAGTGCACCATTAGGGCCTAGCCAGTAATCGAGTATCTTCTCTGTTCCCATCCACCCAAAAAGGAACTTTGAAACCTAAGGATGTTTTCGACTACTTCCCAGACCTTTTTAAACGCTTGTCCATCGAGAAAGTGTGAAGGTGGCCAAAGAGTCAATAGCCGGAATGAGTAATGTTCAGGCCGTAGGGAACTGACGAGGGGACCCATCAGCCATATCCTCCTGCTTCGTCTTTCAGTGTTTGAATCCCGGGTTCAAAAAATACTTTTCAAACTTATGATATGATAAAAGTTTGATTGGCTCACCCCTGTCTTCTGGTAGAGTTAATCCTCAAAATTCAGAGGGGACCAAGCGAAAACCTTTGAAATCTAGACTTGTCCATCTAGCGAAAGCGCATCATCGCTATCACAATCTCGTTAGTTTATCCTGCCGCCTTCGATTCCCTTGGGTAGCCATAGTAGGCTCCCCGCTACACGTGGTCCAAAGATTAACCAACAGATCAACACCTGTTCAGGTCGACCAGGTTTCCTCATCAGCGAAACGAACAATCATTATGCCCCTTGATCAGATGACTTTCTTCCATTCGTCTTCTACTGATCAGTGTCGTAGACGTCCTGGAAGATGTACTGGCCAAATATCCATTCAAATATCCCAGTTATTCTGGATAAAGGTGGTCAGTGATGGCGCATCTGGATCAAGGAAAGAACCTAGTGTTGCCACCGCTCGCCACTTATCATATAGGTTGTCCCCCAGAAGGCGATTGGTCTGACGGAGGTCCTTTTCGAGTTTGTTTGTTTATTTTCTGTTTTTTCTCAGAAAAAAANAAAAAATGATCAGAGCTACAACTTTTTACTTTTTTGTTTCCCTTTCACTGCACTGAAGCCTTCAAATCTCATGTTCGAATGGTAAACAAACAAGCAGCTATTCGAAGCGCACCTAATAGAGAGTTAGCCGAAAAGAGACGCAAGTTTTCGCCTCAGGCTATGGAATTTTCTATATTTACCCAAGCAGCTTCGGCCAGTATGGGGTAGTCCGTGATAGCATGATTTCTGCGTACTGCTAGCTTTTCCACGCGTTTTCCCTACACATAAGGAACCATAAAAGTACCTTGGCAGAACCCAATGGAAGGCGAAGTTCCTTTTCGTCAACGTGAATGCCCCGAGGCCCGAGGTGCCTGGGACTACGCTATTGGGATATGGAGCCGGATTAGCCTGCACTCTATTGAGAAGCAAATTCTGATCGGGGATCTTTTGTGATTACGCAAGTTATTTAAAAAGCAAAGGGGAGTTTCTGTTGCGGTGGTTTCTGACCTGGCTACACTTATAATGAACTTCCATCTTCCATTTCTCTTCCAAGGATTCTCGCTTTTCTCTTATTTGCTCTCTACGTAGCATATACGACCGCCTTCACTGATTCCCATTTTCGTAAACTCATCTGTATCTGATGTTTACGTGTTGTTCCTACGAATCTCCGTTGCTTTGGAAGTTGCATCTTTGTCAGTTGAGCAGATCCAGCTCACAACAACATAGCCATACTAATTTGTTNCCCATGAAGCCATTGAGCTCTATCTGTTTTCAGATGGAATCGAAAGATTTCTACTTGGATACACAGAAACTACGATTGAACGACCTTTCACTTTCTCCAGCTCAAATAAGACGAGCAGGTAGTCCACAAGAAAACGACGGTTGTGATACCCTCACTTTGACAGCTGATGAAGCCGTCTTTCTTCAAGCATCATGGCAAAGGTAACTCGTCCAACAATTTTTTTCCCTTCTGATCAGCTACACTTCCAAATGGCCAGTGTGAAATTAGTCATTTACAACTTACAATTTAACAGGGCCATTGCGACAACCGATGTTGGAGCAGAGTTGGTCATCAGACTTCTGAACGACAAACGATCACTATTCAAGTCTTTACTCGAAAGTCATACTGGTCATATCGATATCAAGAAGTTTACTGTTGATGTTGTCAACCGGGATTTGAAGCGAGCTAAAGAAGTTGGACAAGGAGTTGTACGATTCTTCACGAAGGTAAAGTTTTCAGCTTTCTATGAAAACAACTTAATTTTTGGTTAAAGTTCCTCGAGTACAAAAGCTGCACCATTGGGGGTCAAACAACCAGCAGCTGATATGAGATAATTAACTTTCGCTGGAACTCTTTGGTGCAGCTGAAATGTGGCTTTGACCTGAGCTTTGGTTGAGAAGTCTATGCAGAAGTTAACAAGTTAGCCCTTCTAATTGCTGTGGTACCATTAATCTCCATAGAAGAATGGAGTGCATATGACATAGGGGACCATCGACCACCCGGGTGTCTGCGACACCTCTTGTCAAAGCTGCAGCTGCACAGAAATCCCAAATGTGTATAGTTCCTGGGATTATTGAGACTCTTTTCACCATCGTTGTGTTGAAGAGAAAGGCCTGCCCAGAAAAATCTGCGTTTTATATTTTTTTTTCAGCAAGAACATGTCCTACCTGTGGTAACGAATTTCATAAAGCATATGCTCAGCAATAATGTGGGCAATGGACTGTGGGTGGATAAGTAGCAGCAGAATCAGAAATGCCGAAATTAATTATCGCATATCAATCGAACTGTATGGAGAGCGCTAGAACAAAAGTAACGAGGCAACTAGTCCGCGACGGCCGCGTGCGGCCAATCGATTACACTGAACCGATTCAACTGCCCGTTCCCACTTTTTTAATAGCGAATGCAATGAAAATATCGGGATGCAATGAAGCTGCAGATTGAGAATTGCAATAAAGCCCGATTTACATTTTGAAATCAAAGCGTTTTTTCGGAGGAGGAAATTGCTTCATTGTTTGGAGGAATGGTAAACAAAAGGGTCATGTATGTAAAAAACTTTTTATAAGATGAAGATTGCTAATAAAGGTCAATGGATTCTTGGGTAATGAAGCTGGCGTTAATTAATCTCTTTTTTAGTATGCACCCCTGCATTCTACTTTCCAGAATTGCAATGGCATTTTGAATGCGTTATGGCCTATACAATAAGTTGCGGCAGCGTTTTTTTCTCCCTGGCGAGGCAGAATGATGGGAGGCTCCGTTGGCTCGGGCGAGTATCGATTCGTGGAATGAACCCCAGACTTTGCATGTATGATAGTATGCGCGCCAATTGCCACTACACTACCACCGCCATTTCCATGGCGATACAGTACTACTGCAAAGGCGAGTATCACGATAATGAGGAGCAGTGGGGTGGTATACGCCAAGTAGTACGTCCTCGGAACAAGGGACCCGCTGACACCTAACACCAGCTTGTCAGATAGTTCAAAGCGTGCGTATCCTAGTGAACATGCTTTTTTGACCACACAAGTATTGCGTTTTTTAATTTATATAATTGCCAGTATTGTGACATTGTATTTACGTGTACCTACACGAGTAACGACTGTCTCAAGTACTTTCGGTTCCTGCGAAAGTCCAGCACTTTTTGATTTTGAGCTTGTGAAATGGTGAGCACCTTAGACTGCGTCGTTACTATGTATTAGGTTGATGCATTATCATTGCGGATTTTTTCCAGCAAATTTTACTTAAAGAAATAATAGAAATACTAAGTAAAGACATATTCAAATAATTACTCTGGGACTTATTTACCATCTACGTCAAGCACTGCTTCCCAATGATTAATTAGTCGGATCCCAAAAGCGCAAAAGTTTTGATCCTTACAGGCGATCCACGCCTTGACATCGGCCATCAAGTCATCCAAATCGACGTAACTTCTATTCTCTAGCCATTTTTTCGATGAACGGTTGACGAGATAATCCATAAAAGTTTCTGCTGGTGAATATGGCAGATTTAGGGGCAGATCCCATTTCTTGGTTGGCTCTGGCTTATTGTTCAATCGCCGAAAAGTTACTGAGATCGCGGAATGACTGTGCCACCTTCCAATCTTTCTCGAAGTAGTTAAGCCTGATTTCGCGGATATGCGGATGGTTTCTTGAGTATATTCTTGTAGAGGAAATCAAGTAGATTATTTCTAGAAAGGATCCGAACTCAATATTCAAATTCTATCAAGAGAAAAACAGCCGTAACAAAATACGCAATAATTATGCATCAACTTAATAATAAAGTTAGAGCAGTACCCATTTCGTGGATGAATCCAATCCTTTGTTACGAGTAGAAGCTAACCCTAGAGAAACTCCTTACTCTCGCTATAGGTATTCTCCGATTTTAGTCTCATACTGCTCTACTGAGGATGCCATGCAGAATTGTTTTGGCGGGCAAATGCCCCATTTGGGCAATCCTAATAAGTCTGGATTTGCTCATTGTTTATGATCATTTCACGTGTAAACATGAAATTGGCAAGAGGCTGTTCGGAACGATTTTTCCTAAAAAAAAAAGAGCAAGCAGGGTAAAGTAAAAAACTGGGAATCGAAACCGTAACTAGTATCTTCCAACAGCTTCATTTTAGCACTTTAATTTCCAACGATGACGGCACAGTCTAAACACAACTTGTTGTTGATGTAATTTTCATGATGAGGGCAACTAGGAGGCTAGTCTAGCAGTTCAAGAATGTTTTGAAACAAAGGAGTTAATTTAGTATGCAAGTAAATATGCATAAATGGCGTAGGTGTTGAGGGATAGTTCCGCCATTGTTATGAGTTTTATCGCCTACACAGAGATAAATTATTTATCGTTTACAGGGCTTAACGTGACGCATTATACTAGGAAAGTATTAGGAAGTAGCACGTAAATAAACATTTGGCAGATAAACAAGGGATAGCCTTGTTGTTTCGTTGCTAAGTACAACATGGAAGAACATCATTGTTGTGCAGCAACCGATTCGGATTCAGTATAAGTACAATAGATACTTCATAATACTTCGTGATATTTGGAGCTGCATTGATCTTTTCTCTACGGGAACTCTTGGATATTACGTGCAATATAAACTTTTTATAATCGATCTGTTTTCCATGAAGAAATCCAGACCACAGAAAGAACAGAAACTCGTTTTCCGAAATTGTTTTCCGTGAATTTCTTGATAGTAGTCAGATGGAATACTATCAATAGCACCAGAAAAAACCGTATTGAAGCAGTGAACTTCAGCCTCAAGCCCTAAGTATGGTGAACTAATTGGAAAAACTAAAATTCGGTCAGAAAAATTCAGGGTGCAAGCCACTTACACACAATTTGGCCCTTTGATAAAGTCGATAACAATGCTATTTTTTAAAATACGTAATGTGTAGCTTCTGCAACCCCTTTAAGACACAATAAATTTTCGTTTTAACGATCGTATCACTTCCGTACTTTTTCAGGCTCTAGACTGTTTGGGTGAGCCAGATGCGTCGGAAAAAATTCGCCAAATGAGTTTCGATCTCGGTGTTCTTCACTATCGAATGCGGGTGTGGTTTCAGGCCGAAAATTGGCTATGTGTCAAAAACAGCCTGCTCACTGTTATTTTGGACATCAATCCTATTAGAGGTGCTCATTTCATAATTGTTTACTTAGCGCGAATCTGTAAATTCAGCGTTGGCTTGCAATCATTGACGTGTGGTGAGGACATACACACTGGAGTATTGCAGATGTTGCGAAGTATAGTGATGCTACAATAATACAGAATAGAAGTAGTAAAACAGTATCACAAAAATAATGGTATAATTTCAATGCGGTCTAGTATAGTATACAATAAAGAACAAAGTACAGAGTCTCCCGGCGTGAATCAATCCCGTTCGAGGGATGACCCCTCTACTAGACTTTCATTCAGGATCGTAGTGGCGTATTGAAAGCGCTGTTGCCTACACATTGACCTGCGGTGGCCAGCCGATGTAGAAATCACTGCTTTTATCCTCCCAGACAAGTCTAGTAATCCGCAAGGATGGGAGGGTTCATGCCAGCATGAAATGCAGCATCATAGCCCAACAATGTTTCATAACGCGAAAATCCATGGCAAAATGTTGGACTTTTTCAATGTTTATCAATCACTTGTTGGGATGCACCCACACAATCAACGCCCATTCAAAATCGTGGCGGAGCTTGACCCCTGCGTTTTTGCCTAGGCAGGAGATTGCGGGGCAATAGCAAAGAATCAATGCTTTCAATGACGCTAAATAGTCTGAGGCCAACTAGCTGATCCTGGAATAATGGAAAAAAGGAAGGCTTGATCAAAATCGGCAATGAACTTCAGCTACTTTTCACCGCTACCATCACCCATTACCGTAGCTATGGCGGAAACAGTTTATACTCAGTACTTGATGTAATTTCAGTTCATGGTCTGCGGTTAGGACTATATTCTCTGTGTTCTGGTCCGACTGATGTCGCAATACTGGAACCGATGGCACAGCGGCGCACATGGACCAAAGTACTGCAGTTCGTTATACGAAACATGAAAAGAGGATTTTTATCGGTCAGTATCCTAATAAATTTGATGTTATTTGAAAGCCTTTCCAGCAATATCATAATATGAGCGTTCTCTGCCAAGACCAAATCAATTATGATTTCCCAATGTATGAGAAGTGGGATTTTGTATGGTCGTGAAACCACCTGTAAAGCGCAACAGTTTGAAATTATAGGACTTCGGCGAAGACTGAAAGCCTCTGGAAGCTCCATGGGTTATCAGGACGATAGCAACCTTGTCCGAAGTTGAATTCTGATTCTTTCTCACATTAGAATTGAATATCGTTCATCGAACTCTCTCCGAACCCTTGAGCAGCAGCTAGGGTCGCTAAAATGCTACCGTGGGAGGCCTGTCCAGTTGGTTTTGATATGAAACAGGAGAGACAGCATTTCGAAGAACCAAAAGCTTCTCAGCTCGATAGCATATCGGTCAGAGGTCATCCCAACACACGTGCTCTCACTCCCAGTGATAGAGGAACGGGAGATGAAGTGAATACGATAAACTTCTCGGGGCTGTAACTTCGTCCTTTCCATAATCGGTCATCCCCGAGGCAGTGGACATAATAGGCTACTGACTCCACTCAATCTCATTACCCTTTGGTACTCCGCTGTTCAACNCTGTGCACAATCGCATCACAACATGAAGCCCGACGTTTTGCTTTTTGTGATATTGAAACTGGTTCAAAACATTCAGAATAAGATGTCGTCAGGGTTGCACTATACAGAGATCAGTAAATTTTAAACAGGAATCCAGCAAATGCTGAATTACGCTTGATCCGGAATAATAATTGAGAAAGAAGTTCCCTATCAAGATTATTGGCTAGGCAATGTTGGTACGTGGATAGAGCAGGAATATCATTTGCTGATCTCTAGTGATATTAATTGATACTCTACTTTCCCACCTCCAAGATTTGCCATCCCCACCATGGATTCCTCCTTTTCCTGTCAAATTCAGAAAAATCATCTTGTTATTTGGCATGGAGTATTAACCTAGTTCCCTATAGCTAATGAAATTTTTGGATATAACATTTATTAGATAAGTTTTGTTTAGGAAGCTCTAAAAACCGATCGGAACTCAGATGCCGGCTCTCCGTCACCGTCTAGCACGTAGTCCTTCAGATTTTTCATGTACAACTAGTCTTTTCTATAGCATTTTTGTGATGTACTCATTTATTAGTTACTCGATTAGGTACTTTTGTTCCTCCGCTTCATGTCCTGGACGTCCACCTTGAATTGTGACTATTCACCCGAAGGTTCAATTCCACATCAATAACAGAAGGTACTGAGAAGGTGTGAGCCATGCTACGCGATCTAACTCAATTTTGTTGACTCGTTCATTCTACCTAGTCTATCTACTTCTTCTCAATGTTGCGGAAACTCATGCTTTAATGTAATGATGTTGACTGCCCTACATCTTAATGGTAAATTGTAAAATCTAGGCCTACCTCGACTCTACTTTAAAGGTTAGTGCTTTGTAGGGTGACTTGGTGCTGAGGTGGAGCACCTTTTCTCGAGTTTTCTAAACCAAAATACAAACCATATCCAACCGGCAGTAATTTTTGCTTCTTTGTAATCTGCCAGAAACCGCGCAAACTTTTTGTGGTGGTAGTATAAACACACACATTAAGGGACCCTGTGCTGTATCCCTAGGACCTCTTTTATGTCTCCGATAACTTCTTACCTGAATCATTTGGGCTTCGAAAACAATTAAGTATGATTACTTTTCTGGTGACATTATGGAAAGCCTACACTAAGCTTTGTTGTTTCGTCATTTGTCTGAATATGATGTATACCTTACAAGCGCCCTTTTTATTTGTTTGTGATATTTCATCATGTTTTTTGTATATACAAATAAACAAGTCTCAACACAACTGCTTCCGTCCTTTCTTCTCGTGGCTCACACATTTCCATCATCGACGTACTACTAGCGTACTATTTACTAGCGTACAACTAATATGTAGTACACTAGTAGTACGCTAGCAAGACACAGCATACCCTGGATTCATTACAAGTTGAAATTATAATACTAAGAAAATTTGGAATAAAGTAGCTAATCGACTTTTCTCTATTGAATATACAAAATAGAGTAAAGTAACTTTATTCTTATTGCTTTGGGGAAATGAGCTCTGTCTACATTTGTAACAATGGTGAAGACTTAAAGGGGGCTGATTTCTATGTTTGAAAGTGGTGAGGGTTACATTTACTGTAAGTATCAGTAGTTAATTACCCAATCACTCGACGACACTGGCAATCTATGGCTACTATAGAGTAACAGCTATCGCATAAATGAGGGTAACGGAACTTCTCCCCTATCGCGGCATTCTCCCTTGCGGCATGCGGCAGATGTCACTGCAATTACCGTACTCACCCCGCCTCCCGAAAATCGATAGGACGCGATATTTTTCGTTGTTTGCCTTGCTTTTTTNAAATTGAAGGGAGCGACCAGCCAATTCAAATGATTAAAGGACTCCCTACCTCACAAATTGCGCGCTCCAATCTTTCATCGCAATCCTGCGATAGGCGGCGGGTGCGGCGTGTGCGACGCCGTGTTAGGGGAGAAGTTCCCGGACCCCATAAATGATGATCGAAGCCTGGAATGGTGTCGGGGGAAAAGTCGCTTCGGCTTAGGAGCTCCTGATTTAAACTCAGTTTGTGAAGCTTCATCAACAAATCTCTCGAAACAGCGGCACCCTTTAGTTGCAGAAGATCATTTGTAGTATTGAACGAGTGACATGATGAAAAAAAATTTACTTCAGTAAACATAAATATTTTATTAATGAAAACCCTCAACTGAATTTCGATCCAGTAGAGCAATTCTGTACACATATTGTGAAATGACTGAAAGTCAACAGTGAAAAGATGGTAATGATACATAATGATACTTCGAGATACATCATTTTCCTGAAGCACAACTACTATAGCCGTGCAGTAGAATCTTTCCTATCATTTTCACAGAGTGGAACGGCGAGATGATTAATAATAGTCAGGCACTTCTTCTGTCTCCCTCCTGGTCGATCACCTTAAAATTGATGTAAAAAAAGAAAGTAACAAAAAATTTGTTTAATTTCTGATTTACAAGATTTGGCAAAAATCTACGAAGTACAGTTGACTAAATGAAGTTCAATCCCGTCAGGTTCATGGTAAAACAGCCATGGCTTTGACAAGCTCATTACAGTACCTCGGAGTTAACTTGGTAATGACCCCTACTCAAAAGGCGAGTGAAGTGTTCTTGTCAGTGAGTGGGGCTTGCAACTAGAAAGAGAGTATCGGACAGGCTCAAGCAATATCAGTAATAGACAAGTCAATTTGAGGCTTAAAGTCTCAGCACTTCAGCACTATAAAGTAATGAATAAAGAACAAAGTCTTGGACCAATCATCTTCAATCAATCCCGTCTGATTGTGAGGGATGCGCCCCACATTCGACTTCCATTCGGAATCGTAGTGTTGTATTGAATGCATATGTGGCCTATACAATGGCTTGCGGTAGCCAGCCGATGTACAAGTCAGTGCTTTTGTTCTCCCAGATCCCAGAAGAGTCTGGTCTCAACTAACCGCCTCCGGAAGAACGGAAGGCTTGGTCAGCCCAGGCGGATATTGATCCGGGATTCGAACCGTGACCATGTGTGTGTGTGAAGTGCACCTCCTGCCACTACACCACCTCCACCTACTAAAAAATGAAGGAAAGAAAATGGTGACTTCAATGGTTGAGGCGGGGGGGGGGGGGNGTTGGTGGGTATGGGATATCTGAGAGTGCTTCGGTCAAGCTGTTGCAGCCATGAATTTGTGGGGTAACGCCATAAATGCGGTTTTATTTTCGTGTTATATCGCTTAATCCTTAAAAATGAACGTTTGAGACTGTACAGGGATTGAGTCAACGTCAAAACAAAGTCATTGTAGACTGTGAAGATGTTACTTATTGCCAGATATAGAAGTCATCAATGCAAAACCAGACAGAGGTTGCTCCATATCCTTCTTCTCAGATTTTTCTCCCGAATGGGGAAATTTCAGGAAGTCATACCCCTCGATAAGCACTTCTGAGAACTTAGTGCTCGAGCTACCACGTTTTCGTTTTAAGTCATTCCAACTCCACAGTTTTTGCTGTCTGTTACAACTCCGTTATACATAGAATTAAACTACCTCTCTTGTTACTATGAATGACACAAAAATGTAGTCCATTGTACTTACCAGTGACCAGAATTCCTTTCATTCGTGTTTCACACATTTCACCGATTGTCTGACACTCTCTCGTCCCTAAAAAATAAAGCAATATGCAGAGTTATCTGAAAAGTTTCAGAATTTTGAAGCTCTCCTGCTTGAGCTCAATTAAATCACCCACCGTTGGAATCCGTGGGGCTATGCTTTGTTGGGAGGTTGTTGTCAGCCAAAGATTCCCCACTACAGAAATCTCTATTCTGTAAGCCAATGGCTGACATATTGCATGATACCATGCTGAAAAGGACGAACATAACAGTTTGAACAGGCCCGTGTAGCAAACGTGCTTGGAGGAAGTTGGTTAGTCTGCAACATACCTTCCACTTCGTCGTGATGCCAAAAAGTCGGCCACTCGAGGGAATCGCCACAAAACGCTCCTCAGACAAATGCAATTCAATAGAAATGCTCGAGTGTATTCACTGCTTGCCATACAAAATACATAGAAATTCAAGCAATGATTAACAACCTCGAGAAGATTGGCGATATTACGGTAGAGCTGAAATACTGAGAGATAAGCTGTTTCACAAAACTGAATATGACACTTGAGATTAAGAAAATGGTTGCTTTCCTC